GATGAATTTTTGCCTGTATGTGCACCCATGTAACCACTACCCACATCATTTCCAGTGCCCCAGGAAGCTCGTCCTGCCCTTCTCAGCCAAAACCCCCACCCTCCAGAGGTAACCACTACTCTGACTCCCATCATCAAAGATTAATGTCACCTGTTCTTGAATTCATAAATATAGAATCTGAGTATACACTCTTTTGTGTCTGCTTTCTTTCACTTATCCTTATGCGTATGAGATTCATCCATGTAGTTGCATGTTTATTTTTTATTGCTGTGTAGTATTCCATTGCATGACTATATGACATTTATCTATTCTTCTGTTGATGCATATTTGAGTTGTTTCCATTTTTTGTCTATTATGAGTAAACCTGCTCTGAATGTTCTTGTCAACTTCCTTTAGTGGACACATGCAATCATTTATCCTTGGTTTGCACCAAGGAGTGTAAATCACTTAATTTGCTTTTGGCTACTACATGGGAGAAAATCTCATGAAGAAGGTTCTGAAGCCTACTTTCTCTCTGAAATAACTGAAGAAGGGGATGATGTCAAAGGTTATCACGACTGAGCACCAACTAAATGCTTATAAAATGTCAGATCCTTTACATGCATAATCTCATTTTCTCCTCATAGTTACTTTAAAAAGTAAGTAATATTGTTTCTATTTTGCAAATAAGAATACTGAATGCAAGACACTGTATTAGGAAATGGCCCTTGGCCTCCTAAGGTGGTGTGTGTGTGTGTGTGTGTGTGTGTGTGTGTAAGTGCTCTGTGAGAGGAGCTAGGAGAAAAGGAAATGATGGAAGATCTCACTGCATAGATGAGGCTGGAGATTGGTCTGTGGAGATGGGACGATCTGGAGAACACAGAACGGTGCATTCCAGGTGGGCAAAATGGCATGGGAGGAGTGAAAATGGAAAATGGACTTTAATTTGATTGGGATGTATATGTGTGTTGTGGGGGGAGGGGAGAGGGATAGTGTAGGAAGCAATAAATCTAAGAGAATAAATAGTGTGAGATTTGGAAGAGTTTTAAAATTTCCAAACCATGTTTGAACTTTATCCTGTAGGAAAATTTTAGAAAGGCATGATGAAAGCAAGATTTCATGAAGATCAACCTGGTAATTGAGTAAAGAATAGGTTAATAGCAGAGAAAGCATTTGAAAGCTATTATAAGAGTCAAGGAAAGAGGCCATTTGTACTTGAATATAGGAAGTTGGACCTCAGGAGAAAAGTCAGGATTGGAGATAAGTGAACCTGCTATTTTATAGTGCCTTAGCAAATGTAAGTACTTACACTTATATTATCTGTGGCCTGTGGGTTGGGCAGAGATCACAGACCCTATTTTATTGATGGAGACACTGATAAGAATGGTCCAGGCTCACCTGCAAATAAGCAAATTATGGAGTTGAGACTTGAATCCAAGTCTATTGTTTCATTACATCATGTTGCCTGTACACAAAAGAAACGATTGAGATGCATACAAGTTTCTCCCGGTCCCATTTAAATGTAAAACATCACATATTATAGATGGTCTGGTTTTTTTTTTTTTTTTTTTTTTCAGGTGTACATCATTGTACTTCTATTTCTGCATGGACTACATCATGTTCACCACCAAAATACTAATTACAACCCATCACCACACACATGTACCGAATTATCCCTTTCACCCTCCACCCTCCCCCCTTCGCCTCTGGTAACCACCAATCCAATCTCTGTCCCTATGTGTTTGTTTATTGTTGTTATTATCTACTACTTAATGAAGGAAATCATACGGTATTTGACCTTCTCCCTCTGACTTATTTCACTTTGCATTATACCCTCAATGTCCATCCATGTTGTCACAAATGGCTGGATTTCGTCGTTTCTTATGGCTGAGTAGTATTCCATTGTGTATATATACCACAGCTTCTTTATCCATTCGTCCCTTGATGGGCACTTAGGTTGCTTCCAAGTCTTGGCTATTGTGAATAAGGCTGCAATGAACACAGGGGTGCATGTACCTTTGCAAATTGGTGTTTTCAAGTTCTTTGGATAAATACCCAACAGTGGAATAGCTGGATCATATGGTAGTTCTATCGTTGATTTTTTGAGGAATCTCCATACTGTTTTCCATAGTGGCTGCACCAGTTTGCACTCCCACCAGCAGTGTATGAGAGTTCCCTTCTCTCCACATCCTCTCCAACACATGTTGTTTCCTGTCTTGTTAATTATAGCCATTCTGACAGGCGTGAGGTGATATCTCATTGTAGTTTTGATTTGCATTTCCCTGATAGTTAGTGATTTTGAACATCTTTTCATGTGTCTGTTGGCCATCTGTATATCTTCTTTGGAGAAATGTCTGTTCAGGTCTTTTGTCCATTTTTTAATTGGGTTGGTAGTTTTTTTGTTGTTGAGATGCATGAGTTCTTTATATATTTTGGAGATTAAGCCCTTATCAGATGTATGGTTTGCAAATATCTTCTCCCAATTGTTAGGTTGTCTTTTCGTTTTGTTGATGGTTTCCTTTGCTGTGTAGAAGCTTTTTAGTTTGATGTAGTCCCATTTGTTTATTTTTTCTATTGTTTCTCTTGCCCGGTCAGATGTGGTGTTTGAAAAGATGTTGCTAAGACCGATGTCGAAGAGCGTACTGCCTATGTTTTCTTCTAGAACTTTCACTAGATGGTCTGGTTTCTGTAAACTCCAACCTCTCCCCCTCCTCTAGGTATTTAATTCCTTAAGAGGATGCCACATGACATTGTATCCATGTTTACAGGAATCCAGTGCCCTAGCAAAATACCATCTCTTTTTATTTGTACAGTTCTCTTGCTCAACCTTTTCATAGAGAGATGCCTATAAAGCTTGAGACACCAACTTTTGACAATTTCCAACTCAATATACATTTTAAATGGCCATTTAATCCATGCTTTCCTTTTCTTATAAAAGTGAATAAGAAAACACGTACAAATGACTACAGATAGGCAAAGATACTAGATTCTGACTATCAGAAAATCAACACTAAATGGTTCACTTGGGTTTTCTAAAATGACTCAACACACTATAAAATTAGAAAGAAAGATTTCAAAATAATAGTAGATTATATGTTACTTAAGAGCAGGAGGACTATTGTTTCTCCAGAATCTGTCCATGCCTAGCCTAATGCCCAGTATATAGTAGGTATGCAAATGTTAACTGAATGAATTACTGTGACCCATAAAGTCCAACGATTATCTCTAGGGGCATCTAGATGTACCATAACTGTGTAGTGGAAAGGGCACTAGGCAAAGAAACCTTGTTTGTGGTCTTAGCTCCAACCCTTCTTAGCAGATTGATCTTGGATAAATCACCTCACTATTTCACTGACTTCAGTGTCCTCATCTGTGAAAAGAGAGATTGGACTAATAGATGATCTGGTAGTTTCATGCCATTTCTCACATTCTAGGACTAAGTTGTGTTTTCCCAGCATCCACTCTACTTTTCCAATGGTAAACCTTGCATAGGTAAGTTTAATACTGCTTTTTATGCTAGGGAGACTAGGAAAAAAAGGTTTCATGGAGTCTTTCTCTCCTTCAGTATCTCCTAGGGGAGCAATGAAGATGAGAATGAGTTTTAGAAAGGTCATTGGCTGAATAATCTTTTTTGCAGTAGTTTGCAAAGCTACATGGTAATATACCTCTGGGTTAGTTCTCAGGTGTGTCAGATTCAAAAGACTCAACTTGTAATAAAGTATTTCTGTTGTTTTTTGCGGTAAACAGATTTCATCCCTTAAACATGACCTTAAATATGGCTCATTTTCTCTATTATCCATCAGCTAGAGTAACTTTGTGAAATATGTGGCAAAAACTTTTTTTCTTTTAAAAGATATACACTCTCATATGCCAATAAATTGACACCAGGTAGAATGAGAATGAAATTGTTTCTAAAACGAGGATCCTCTTTGAAAAGGGTGGTGCATTAAATTCCTAGATAGTAGGAACTACCTATAATGCAGTCTGTATCACCTTGTATTTATATCAGCATTGAATAAATGATGTTGCAGGGGCAAACTTTTCAAATAAGTTCTTGGTTATCATGTGAGAGAAAGTTCCGTTAAACATCAGATTCCAGCACACATAAACGTCACTTTTCTACCACTGTGTATTTATTGCATACTGCCATCATTTTGTTAAGGCAATACTGCCCAGCACTAATGGGAACAAAATGTATATGGGTTTTTGTTCTTATCTACCCTGTTCTACTCTTGATTGGGCTGGGATTGACTTGGTCCTTCCCCAAAGACATTCTTTTTTTCCTTTTCCATTTGTTAAGGGTGCTTAGAAACTTTAGTATTTCTCACATTTTCTTCCAGCTCTGTTCTATTTATTGGAGTCTCTAAAATTATAGGCTCAACATTTCTTCAAGCTAGCTCTACTTTTTCTATCAATTATAGCATTCCCCAAGTCATCTTTATATTGGTTACCATAGATAATGTTTGTTAACAGAAATGAAACAGAGGCAGTGAGAAGTTGCCAATAAAAGTTCTGGTCTCCTGCTTAACTGTATGCAGTACATTGGCTTTGTTCTTTGTTGTTCATACCTACCTCTTGTTATATCTATATCTATATCCCAAATATTTCCTTTAAACATTTCTGCAAAGTTAGTGCTGAGTAAAAATACACCCATGTATTTATTCCAGCACCCGCTTATCCAACATACAAATCCAACTAGTGCCTAAAAAAAGACAAGAATGGGACCACCTACATCCACAAAATAATTGGGGGTGGGTTTGCATCTAGAGAGACCCCCCCACCCTCAACCTGCTCTGAGGAAGCGCCTTTTAAGGTGTGTGCGTGTGTGTGCCCTTCCCAAACCAATTGGATGATGATGCGAGAGGGAAGATTTTGCATTGCAAAGACCAATTTAAAAAAAATGCTGGGCAGGTAGTTAATAGCCAAGAGCGTGCTCTTGCTGGGGGATGCAAAGGAAGAGAAACGCAGCAGCACCGGCAGCCTGCTGGGGGCTGACCTGATTCCCTAGAATCCTCAGCTCCCTTCCTCTTTCCTCCGACGTCCTTCCTTCCCCTTTTCTCCTCTTTCCCCCCCTTTTCTCCTCCCCAGAGAAGCAGCTCCCTGAAACAAAGAACGCGGGCTCTCCAGGCATCAGCGCCTAAGCCCAGCACACTGCCAGCGGCAGCTCGTTCCGGGGACCAGGGCTCTCCCGCTCCGCATCCCCTCCCCAACCTCCCCCGCCTCCCGCGCTCGCTCGCTCCCTCCCCGCTCGCTTCCTCCCCCACCTTCGCGGCGCTGGGAGGAAGGCGGCCCGCGCTCAAGATGGCTTTAGCCGGGCTCTGCGCCCTGCTCGCCTGCTGCTGGGGGCCGGCGGCGGTGCTGGCCACGGCCGCCGGCGACGTGGATTCGTCCAAGGAGCTGGAGTGCAAGCTCAAAAGCATCACGGTGTCGGCGCTGCCCTTCCTGCGCGAGAACGACCTGAGCATCATGCACAGTCCCTCGGCCTCTGAGCCCAAGCTCCTCTTCTCGGTGCGCAACGACTTCCCGGGAGAAATGGTCGTGGTGGACGACCTGGAGAACACGGAGCTGCCCTACTTCGTGCTAGGTGAGTCCTCGGGGAGGTCGAGGCGGCCTGAGGCGCTGGCTCGGCGCCCCCACCCCCACTCCGGCTCGCAGTACACACCTACTCGCCGGCGACCTCCCCTCCCCCACTCCTACCTCCCTGGATCCGCCCCAGTGGCACACCGTTCTCCACACCCACTTGCAGGCTAGTGCCTCAGCGTGCTTGACTTCTCCCCAAATCCGACCTGAATACTGGGCCCCCAACCTCTCCTCTGCCGCCTTGCCCCAAAGGAACAGGTTGCATGAGTCTCTGAAACCTTTCCCAGACTTGACCTCCCAGCTCCCATTCAGGAGCACGTTGGCGGAGCACTTCTTGTCTGCTACCAGCTTAACTCCCATAAGCCTTCTCCCCACTCCCTGGCCACATGCTCAGTTCTTTGCTTCACACCCCCTGGACACCCATCCCCACCCACAGCATTTCCTGAGGGAGTTAGAAACAGGTATCCCCTGTCACCTTGCCAGGCGTGTGCAGGCCAGATTGCTCTGGCTGGCTCTCTAGTCTTCACTCACTGAGACCTCTTTATCTGTCACCGGGTTACTGACGCTGTCTGGCCTTCCTTCAGGACACTCAAGTTTCCTTTACTCCTGGTGTCCATCCTGGCAAGTCCTACCTCCACGCCTGCATGTCACAACCTCCTCATTCAGCCACCTCCACATCTCCATGTCACATCACAATTCCTTGGATAAAGAAATTATCCAACTGTAGTCTGTTAATATTGGTATCTTCTTTGTTCCCAAGGCTGCCTTAGATAGGCATAGACATTCCCACACACAGAACGACTTTCCTGGGCAAGAGGCTCTTCCTTCCTTCCTTTGCTTGTTTGTTTACATCTCTCTCTCTCAATACCCCTATTTTAATTTTCTTAAGTCACAGAACTCCTTCAGATAATGGAAACTCTACATCACTTCTAATCTACCCCTCTTTTCCACTGCCAAAGATGTTGCAAGGATATTGTCCTGCTCCAGCATCTTGCAAAGCCCCACAGGTTCATGTGACTTTGTTAACTAGAATTTCCCCCGCTTCTCCATGTGCCGATGTATCTCTCACCTTGCTGTGCACGCCCACCATACAGTCCGTTTCTGTAGTGATGCTGTCCATCATTCTTATTTTGCTCAGGATAGAATTCAAAGATAACCACAAGTAAATCTCTGGATCCAAGAAAAACAAATGAAAGTATCCAGGAGGCTGTTCCATCTACTGCATGCCCTACCAACTAGAATCCACTTGCAGGAACATGGCTTCCTGACAACCATACGTAGGCTAGAGCCACAAGTGGAACACCATCTAACATCTCCCTCTTGCTTTTTCTTTACAAGAGTTGTCTTCACACTGAAAACATTACTAAGTGGATGAGTAGAGCCCCACTCTCCAACCCCTGTAGCAAAGCAATTTCACCAATTGCCTGGTCCTTTGAAAAGTTGGTTTATAGTTCCTGGAGTGCAGCTCAGTCAACCCCATTAAGCCCAACCTACGCTCTTGGTGGGTTTATTTATTTTTGCATTAAAAAATACCAATAACATAATAAAAAGTGGGGGCTGACTGGGAATGGGGACATTGTGAGTATGCCACTCATTAAAATGTACAATTGCTGGTTATTCAGTGGATGTGAATTTCATGTCGAAGTCATGCTGATATGCAAGTACAATCTATTCATCATAGTATATAAGAATGAGAATAGGAATTATGTGTTTCTAAAGAGCCTGTTTTGGGCTCTCCTTGCAGTGTTTACTGTGCGTGAAGAGGGACATGAGGTACATGAAAAAAGGGAGATTGGACTAGCAGGCATTCAAAATTCCACTTCCTTTTTTGCAGAATCCCAAAGCCAGGTCCTAAAGCCGTGATGTACCTACTAGTATCCAGTGTGCACAGCAAAAGCCCAGATGTTAAAGAATGGGTTTTCTGCACCTCTGTGCAAAGCTGCCCACTGCAGCACCCTGCTGGAGTTGCTATGGTAACCTCCTGCAACTTGGCATTTACACACAAGAACAGACTCTCACTTCAAGGCCAGATGCATTTGTTAAATGCATTGATTGTTCCCCTCCATCCCAGTCAATGGGGTATGATCAGAACCAGAGATGTGCTGATGCCTATCCCTTCTGGCCCGGGGAGTCCCAGGGGGAGTAGGAGTGAATCTCAGCTTGAGTGGTGGAGCAGAGCTGGGCAGAAAGGGATGGGAGTCCAAGTTCTTGGAGGGTAGACTAAGGTGTAAGTGCTTTTGAAGTTAACTTTTGTGGTCCTGGATCCTGTCACTCATGGCCAATAGTAAGGGCTGTAGTGACTTTGGTTTAGAGCTTTCCCTACCTTTATCTCTGGAACCTATGGTTTGCTTAATCCATCACCTGGAGGAATCTGAATCCCTCAGTCCTGGGAATTTATTGAGCATTCACTTGCTGGCACTCTTAGGCACTGTTAGGATACAGAAGTTAAAAAAAATAAGAGGTCCTGCCCTCAGGTACTCTCTAGTCAGTGGAAAGGCAGACTGAGGTACCTGTCAGAGCTGTACATAGTAACACCTGATTGTGCAGGGTTGATGTTAAGGGTATAGGGATGCTGAGGAAGGAGATGCTTGCATGGTAAGAGCAGACCCAATGGAAGACATGGGCTTGACTAGGGGCCTTGACCAAAATCAGATCCTTTGGCTTCCTTTTGTCTTCAGGACCAAGTTCTGTCACTTCCATGAGGCAAACAAGGGTCTTCTCTCTGACTGGAGCAAACTTCTCCAGCCTCTTATCCCTGCAACCTGCTGTGGCCTTTCAGGATTCTTTCAAGACTTTGCACATGCTGTTCCCTCTGCCTAGAATGCTCTTCCCCTCTCTCCACTTGGCAGTCATCCCTTCTTCCTTATAAATCCTGCACACATGTCACCTTTCTGTGAAGCCTTCCCTACCCTCCCAAGGCAGTCGTAGTCCATCCCACGTCTGTGCTTTTTTTCGTGGATTAAAAAAACAAAACGCAAATGAATGAAATTAAAGATAGATTAGATTTGGCTTTGCCTAGAAAAGGTGAAGCCATTTGAGGTCATGGAAAAAAAATGAGCAAAGGATGGTGGTGGGAGTGAATATGGGAACGGAGTGTGTACGGCGCCGTAGGGAGATCTGCCTTGTGGTGGGAGAGTAGTGAGGACCCTGCCTGGCTCTGTGGAGTGGGGCGTGGTTGTCCACTTAAAAGCCAGGCAGGAGAGGGCTGATGGTGTAGGAAGCAATGAGGCCTGGCTCCCAGAGGCTAATGTCAGCCATCAGTGTTGTCAATTCTGCTTGGGGGATCATCCTAGGAGGCAGTGAGGGGATGGCGGCATCTCCTGTTCTCTGAGGTCTGGTTTGCAAATTGTGGTGCAGGGGCCATATGTGACTTTCCGTTATGTTTTGTTTGGCTACACATAGTTTTGAAATGTTTTGAATGTGAATGTTTTGGTCAAGGCATGCCGTCTCTGGATCGCCATACTTCCCGCAAATGCTGATCGTACTATGGCTGACCCTCTTTATGCTACTTGTCTGGCAACTCCAAGCCTTGTAATCTAAACCCCTGCTTTCAGAAGTGTTGTAAAACTCTCTACAATATCACAAAATAACTGTAATTTCTAATTTTAGATATTTATTTATTTATTTTAAGATTTTATTTATTTATTTTTCCCCCAAAGCCCCAGTAGATAGTTGTATGTCATAGCTGCACATCCTTCTAGTTGCTGTATGTGGGACACGGCCTCAGCATGGCTGGAGGAGCGGTGCGTCGGTGCGCACCCGGGATCCGAACCCCGGAAGCCAGCAGCGGAGCACGCGCACTTAACCACTAAGCCACGGGGCCGGCCCTAATTTTAGATATTTAGATACATAAGCCTTATTAGTCTCTCAGTAGAATATAAAAGGTTTGCCAAATTAGTTGGTTAAAATTTCGTATCTCAACTAAAATTTCAGCTCTCAAAGCAGTAGACGTTCCTGCTTTGGAGGCATATTTGATTTTGAGACAGCTGGTTAACCTGAAGAGTGGCTTTCACACTGAGGTGTGGTTTTCTGGGCTGTGAACAGAGCATGTTTGTCAGTCTCATTACTATTTGAAGGGGGTGCTCCTCTGTCTCAGACCCAGCTGCTGGGCTTGTGCATGTGTAAGACTTAGTGAAGAAAGCTGTTTCTCTTGTGCCTTGGAGTTTAGTCTAGCTGTCGTGGCTTTTGATTGAAGGAGGTACTCCTGAAGAGGGATCCCTCAGCCTGCAGAGATGTAGTGAGTTCCCCCAGGCCAGGTGATGTTGAAAGTGTCTGGAGCAGTCCAGTGTGGTGGTTAAAAGAACAGGCTTTGAAGACAGATCTGGTGTCAACTCCTGGCTTTTCACTTATTTCAATGGAGGAGGAAAGTAAGGATCGGAGAGGTTAAATAACTTACTCAGCCTCACATGGCCAATAATTGATGGACCCATCACTCGAACTCAGGTCAATAAGCCTTTTTCTTAGTTACTATTTTATACGCCTTAAAATTTTTCGAAATCTGTTCTTTTTCACGGTTGGATAAAGGGAGCCCTGGCGATGTTTAGAACAGGGAAAGCACACTCACCTAGTTTGCTTAGAGGAGTCCTTTATGGTTTTGGTGTAAATACCTTTTGAATTTCCTTGCCCATTGAGTGATTTCTCACATAAGCCTTAATGCAGAAGAAGGTGAACTTCATCAAGAAATATTTATCTAAGTAGGGATACTTTCCTAAGCAGAATTGGGGAAATCTTATTTCATTCATCGTTTCCAGGTTTGGGTAGCCATGTTCCATGGTGTGTCATGGCACCCACAGGGATAATGAACAAGATAGGATCCATGGGGTTGAAGATCACATGTCTAGTGCTCCTCCTAGAAGGGCCCCACAGAAATGCAAACTAGGAATCCCAGAAAGAACGCTCCACTGTTAAATGGAGCCGTCCAGAAGGTGCTTCTTGTCCAAGGCCACTGACCTTCCTGTTAGGTGGCCTTGTACTTAGAGTCTGGCATCAGAGCCCAGTGGAGCT